TCCTGTCTGGGGCAGAAATATTGACATCCACACTGCCCACCAGGCCATGGGAGGTAAGACCTGGCTCACACTTGCGACATTTGAAATACAATTGGCTTCCTGGACCACACCCAACACTATGTTTACAATAGACATGTCTATTTTTTTAAAAAAATGATTAATTGTGGCAAAATACATGTAACATAAAATTTACCATTTTGACTGTTTTTAAGTGCACAGTTCAGTAGCATTGAGTATATTCACTTTGTTATGCAACCAATCTCCAGCACTTTTTCATCGTGCAAAACAGAAACGCTCTACCCATTAAACAGCTCCCATTATTCAGGTCTATGTTTAATGGTTACTTCCTGCAAGAGAATGTTGTCTCCTGCCATCATCCCTGTTTGCCTATTTCCTTCCCACATCCTTCTGTCTCTCCCTCTCTCTCTGTCTCTCTCACATGCCCAGTGCATGCTGTCAACACAGCTTACCCTTTCTCTTTGTGATCATTGTGTACACTCACATAGAAAGACCCAAATTCTCCCAGTTCACAGAGATCCGCTGGGGGAGGGCTGCTGGTTCTGTCACAGGGGTCCCCAGCCCAGGTGACCTGTCTGGTCAGGACCATCAGACAGGAAGGAGCCTCAGGCCAGAGGAGGAGGCACCCAGAAGGAACCTGCTGAGTTAGCACCCACTGTGTTCAGAACTTCTTATGGGATCATTACCCACTTCAAAGGGATTTTTCCTCGGATTTGCCATGGGAAATGGAATCAGTCCTCCCTGTGTTCTCTGAACTGGATGACAAACTCATCCCTGAGGGTGGACCAGCAAACTGGCCAAAGGTAAGTGGACATCCTGATTCCAGGAAAGAGGAGCTGGACGTGCCCATCTCTTGTCCCCACACACTGCCAAACTAAAAAACAAAACACAGGCGGAGAGGCGTAAATGAGGCAAGTACGCAGCAGCCAAGCACCTGCCTCTGCTCATGTTAACACAGAAAGGGAGGCGTGGTGGCCAGGGGGATACTCCGAACAACACCGTCAGGCATCTTCGCACTCCCTGTTCATCACAGTGAATTCGCCATTCCAGGGAAGCGCTCCTACCAAAAAGCTGCAGTTTACTTTCTGAAAAAGATGGCAAAAAAAAAAAAGTCAGCATTGTGACAAAAGAAAGATAAAGAGCAGTGTCCTGTTGCTAGGTGTCAGCGTAGGAACATGCTGGAAGATGGGTCACCACCCATCCAGAAATGCTCTCAGGAATCTGCAGAGCTGGAGGCTGCAGACTTCACAGCCATTAGCAGCTACCCGGAGGGATCTCTGCTCTATACCAGCCACGAGGAGACACAAATGTTAACGATCTTAACATTTTGGTGGGACATTAAAAGTACACTTGACCTTATTTTTATGTCTTTTTAATACTTTCTACAATGTAAACAAAGCAATTCTATATTAGATAAAAGCTAATATATGCTATTTTAATGTTTAACCCCTTTTGTTCTAATAACTAGTGTGTCAGGGTAAGAGTAATTTAGAAGATTCTAGAGCTTAACACATCTTTTGTTCCAAAGAGACCTTCTCTCCCTTTCAAACTACCATTGAAATGACAAATGAAATGTTCTGAGTATGTCTACTAGATGGGTGAATGGGTGAAGGGACAGATGACAGGATAGACAGATTGGCAGACAGACAGCAGTACTGGAAAAACTGTATGGGTCATCTTAAAAAATCTGGAATCACTGAGGCACTTCCAGAAGTTAAGAAGCAGATGGAGTCAGAGAAAAGGAATTTTGGTCCCTGCTTGGACACATGCACGAAATAATACCAAATCAAGGTGGTTTTATAGGTAAATTACATCAAACTTTTGGAGCCAAAAGCTCCTTTGGTCTTTTTTTTTTTTTCCTGGCAGCTGGCCTGTAATGAGATCTGAACCCTTGACCTTGGTGTTATCAGTCCTTTGCTCTTTAAACTGATCCCAAACATGGGAAAAAAAGTGGAAAGCCCCCATTTTCATTGTACCAGAAAAGCGAAATCCTGAAAACAAGATGTAACTGAGAAATAAATTATAATCAAAACTTGCTTAATAAATAGCAAAAATCTTAAACAAAAACTAGCAAATTAAAGTCAGTTGCATAATAATTAATTGCTGTATCTTCCAGCATATTCTTAAACAGACACCTGTCAACAAGACCATACTGTCCCTAATGAAGTGCTTCCCAGACTTGCCCAGTGATATAAAAATGTGTGGGTGTTTGAACTGGAAATTCTGATTCAGTAGATTTGAGGTGTGGTCATGGAGTTTGTGTATGTGTATGCATGTGTGTACATGTGTGGATACAGATGTGTGTACAAGGATGCATACATGTGCATGTATGTGCGCGTGAGTGGGTTTATCACATGCTTCAATGATTCTTAACATCAGGGAGGTTTGAGTAATTAAGACATATAAATGCAAAATTCCTAAGTAAAAAAGTGGCATATTGAATCCACTGCATTCTAAATGACAAGGGCAGGCATAATCCTTCACTCTGCCCCTTTCCAGCCTGGTCCTGTGAAGAATGGGGGCAAGAAGAATGGCCACTCTGCCATAGGTGAGGTGGTGACAAAGAGGATACCATTGACATTCACATGTGAGTCCAGGGAGCGACCTTCAAGGTGCAGGCCCCTCAGGCACTGAAAGAGATCTGGAAATTTGCCATGAAAGAGATGGGCATGCAGTTGTGTACATCAGCACCAGGCTCCACAAAGCTGTCCAGGCCAAAGCGACAAGGAACGTGTCACCCTGTACCCATGTACTGTTGTGTGGAGTATACTAACATTTATAAAGCAAATGTATTTCACAGGGCCTAGTTTCCAAAGCCCTGTAGTTTCACGTATAACCTAACTTTTTAAAATTACATATGGAAATGTTAAGCTTGCAAAAGACAGGAAACTTTCCCCAGGCTAAAGTCTCTGATGTAGATAAAGAATTATAACACAGAAAAGTTGTTGGCTCAAGGACAGACATCCTTGGAGCAGATTAACCTACTGATTGATATGTTAAGAAAGTTGTTTTATTGTTATATAAAAATACTGAGGACACTGCTGTAGGAAAAGACAGTATTTGCTAAGAACAAGCTTTTGTTGGTGGATTGACTTAACCTTTTGCAAATTGCATTATGGAATGTCACCATGTTATTTCACTGATATTACCAGCCTCTACTGGTAAACTGTACTAGCTATAACTCCACCTATGTTTCTTTTCTGTAACTTTCTGGCCTGGAGAATAAATACTGAGAAAGAACCCCAGTCTAGTGTTAATTTCCTGAGGAGGAATGCCTCTCTCTTGCGAATTCCAGGAAATTAACCCCTTCGGGGTTTCTCACTGCTCAGAAAAGAATGGGCTTTGAGTAATACTTTGCATCTCTGTCACCCAGGAGAAGAGAGGTGACAAAGAGAGTGCAACACAGTTGTCCAGAAAACAAGCGAACAAGTTTATTCACCAAGCAAGCTCAATACATTGTACCTATGTACCTGTCCCTTCATTCAAAAACCTACTATCAATGTGGATGAGAACTAACCACTGACAATCAAATAAAATTATAAAAGTGTCCCCTCACGCAAAAGAAGACAAGTTTACCATATTGCAGCTGTGTAAGAATGGCTCAACATTAGCAAATCCATTATTTTAATTATTTATACTAAAAGGACAAGGAAGGAAAATTATTTAATATACTTGGTAGATACTGAAAAAATATTTGATAGAAGAAAACGTTTTTAATTTAAAAAGTAACTCTTGGTAAAGAGAAAATGGAAGAACTTCAGAAATCAGTACTTGATATAATATTTAATGATAGGACATAAATACTGGAGACATTCCACTAAAGCCAGTCAGAAGAAAAACTGCCCAGTATTACTGTTCTTCAGCATATTCCAAAGGCTTGGAAAGTTTTCATTATTGATAAGTGTGTGCCTTAAAAACAAAGAGGGTCCATAGAAACCTTAGACCCAAGTGGGCTCCTTGAAGACAATTCTCCTTCATTCTTTTTAACATTTTCTACAAACAGGCAAAAAGAACAACTTTCCTATAACCCCAAGGAGCCCAGGAGAAAATACAAATTTAAAACAGCCATACTCCTAATAAAAAAATAAACAAAACAAGCATGAACAATCAGATGGCGTTAGCACTTGCTCACTGCTTAAATGTGTGTCCTGATGGGTATTTACCATCACCTGGACATGATAGGATGTGCTCATTGTGAGCACACAGAGGCAGTTTTTGTCACACATAATGGGAGTGTACTTTATTAGTTGTACTTCCTATTTCCTGTGCCGTGGTAATATGTGGAGCAGTGGTTCTCCAAATCTAATTCCAGGGTTTATCAAGGCCTCCAGATGATTCTGAAGCCTGTGCACATTGGAAAACCACCAGTGTAAAGAAAGGGGCAAAGATACCCCTGTTGGACAAATCGGCAGAACAGCTGGGGCCTTCACCAGTCTCAGACTAGGTGATGCTACATAATCCGTGCAGGGCTCTCCCACAACTCTGAGATCAAAAATGCAGGCTGGAGGCCACAAGGCCCTGACAAAATCAGCCCTTAGGGAGTCTCTGGGCTGTTCCCTGATCTTCACAGAAAACCTGGCTGAGCCCAGTGAGAATCAACTGTAATCCAGGAGGGTAGGGACATTGTCTGGTCCGTCATTGCCTAACCTCCAGCAAAGTAAACATCACCCGTTTTCAGTAAGTTTATGAGTGGATGAGTGAATGAATGGATTTCCTTTTGGGCCTGTACAGGGATGCACTTAGCAACAGCCGGGTGGCTAACCTGCATCCAAGAGAATAGACTTTCAGTGAACATGTGTTGGCAAGTTTTTCTGCATCAAAAGTCAAGAATTACTGGAGCTCTTGAGGTAAGAGTGGACTTGACAATATCCAGTCCCTAGGACAAGGGGTGGGGAAAAGGCTTAAAGGGGTCCACCACTGGGCCTGCATCCTCTGCTCTAAAAGCCACCGGGTTAAATGTTGGCAGCGATCCAGACCTCAAAGAGAAGGTCTGGGCACCCCAAGTTTTTCCAGTCACTTAGAGGCCTTGATAAAGCCAGATGGGGCTCAGAACTGCCAAGGATATCACAGGTAGTTTCTTGCCTACCTTGTCCAGTTTGGAGTTTTCTTGAATGACACAGTTTTCATTATTGTTTAAAGGCTTTCTGCAATTGCTGCGGGCAATTTTAACATCAATAAGATATTCCAGGCGATCCGTGACCTGTTAATTAGGAATTGTGAAATCTATTTGAAGAAGTTTTATTTTATTTTAAAAAGTTTTAGCAAACTTGAAAATCACTCTTACTCTCATCATCTACCCTTTCCTCCCTTCTCCCTCCACCTGCCCCTGTAGCTTTAGGGGAAGGCCATGATGTGTACCTGCTCCTCTTTGCACACTGACACCTGGAGCTGGGTGCTCAGGGAAAAGGCTCCTTTCCAGTTTGGGGCTTCCTCAAAGGCAAGACCTGCTAATTCCATTTCTGTCCTAAAGTCTGAGGCATGCTCAGTGAAGGGTGGGGGGAGAAAAGTGGGGTCTCCAGAGCCATCAGCCCTCCTGGGCCCAAGATGCTAAGGTTCACACAGGCCTGCCAGGAGGACAGCCGTCTTTCCCACATGCACCCTCAGATCCCTGTGAACCATCCCCCATCTTGGGGGCTTCCTGGGTCCTTTCCACCAGCTCAGCATGCAGTTCTTATGGGCCATTCATGCCCGAGTTTGTCTTGTTCTCTGTTGAGTCTTTAGTGAGTAGAGCAGCAGTAGGTTTACAGTAAGAAATCAGTATTTGCTGAATTCATTAATGATTGAATGCAGTTAAGACTACTCTGATGTCCGCTTAAATCACCTGGGGGTATAGGACTGCAGGAGGAGACAAGAGGTTTCTGCCACTAGACCAGGTTCCCCTTGACTCGCCTGTCTTTATCAGACCTTTCCTCATTGCCTCTATCAAGTCTATTGATTCTAGCTGTGCTCCAAAGAGTTAGCAAAGGCTGCTCTGGCCTGTCTTGGAGGGGGAAGCTGGTTAGACATCAAGGAGCAACCAGCACAGCTACCCGTTGGTTTGGGGAATTAGGTCTTGTTTTTTGTTTTTTGTTTTTTTTTTTCCTTTTTGTCTTTTTTATTGACCAGCAACGGGATTGCAACCCTCGGTGTTGCGCCCACACCACACTCAGCCAGTGAGCGGGAACCGGTCTCCACATGGGATCCGAACCCTCGGTGGGAGCGACACCGCGCTCCCAAGCGGCGCACTTTCCAGTGCACCACCGGGCCGGCCCAGGGAATTAGGTTTTTACTTTGAAGATGAGCCTGACCATCAACAGGACTTCTATTAAGAGTAGTCCTCGCTAACCCCAGCCGAGCACGGGCTGCACATCAGCACGGGCTGCACATCAGCACGGGCCTTGGGGCTTTGCACACAGTGACTCAGTTAATCCTCATGCCAGTCCTCTGGGGTAAGGCTGTCACTCCTATTTTTTTCAGGTAAGGAAACTGAAGCACAGAGAAACTGAGTAACTATGTGTCTAGCAAGCAGCCGACCCAGGGGGGTGAACCAAGGCATCCAGCACTGCAGCCCACGACCTCACCACCATGTGGCACTGCCACTCACGTTTCTGCTGCCACTGCTGGCCCAGCCAAAAGAAGGCAGGGGCTTTCCATAGGCTGATTACAGGGAACTATGAACCTAAAGGCTGGGAGGCTGGGGACATCTTCACTGCATCCTGAGAAACTATTTCTAAAAATAAGTTCAACAGAGTGATACATTTAAAGCCCAAGTTTGACCACATAAGTCCTAACAACTCCCTGACCTAANTAGGACTGCAGGAGGAGACAAGAGGTTTCTGCCACTAGACCAGGTTCCCCTTGACTCGCCTTCTTTATCAGACCTTTCCTCATTGCCTCTATCAAGTCTATTGATTTTAGTTGTGCTCCAAAGAGTTAGCAAAGGCGGCTCTGGCCTGTCTTGGAGGGGGAAGCTGGTTAGACATCAAGGAGCAACCAGCACAGCTACCCATTGGTTTGGGGAATTAGGTGTTTTTTTTTTTTTTTTTTTTTCGTTTTGTCTTTTTTATTGACCGGCAACGGGATTGCAACCCTCGGTGTTGCGCCCGCACCACGCTCAGCCAGTGAGCGGGAACCGGTCTCCACATGGGATCCGAACCCTCGGTGGGAGCGACGCCGCGCTCCCAAGCGGCGCACTTTCCAGTGCACCACCGGGCCAGCCCAGGGAATTAGGTTTTTACTTTGAAGATGAGCCTGACCATCAACAGGACTTCTATTAAGAGTAGTCCTCACTAACCCCAGCCGAGCACGGGCTGCACATCAGCACGGGCCTTGGGGCTTTGCACACAGTGACTCAGTTAATCCTCATGCCAGTCCTCTGGGGTAAGGCTGTCACTCCTATTTTTTTCAGGTAAGGAAAATGAAGCACAGAGAAACTGAGTAACTATGTGTCTAGCAAGCAGCCAACCCAGGGGGGTGAACCAAGGCATCCAGCACTGCAGCCCACAACCCTCACCACCATGTGGCACTGCCACTCATGTTTCTGCTGCCACTGCTGGCCCAGCCAAAAGAAGGCAGGGGCTTTCCGTAGGCTGATTACAGGGAACTATGAACCTAAAGGCTGGGAGGCTGGGGACATCCTCACTGCATCCTGAGAACCTATTTCTAAAAATAAGTTCACCAGAGTGATACATTTAAAGCCCAAGTTTGACCACATAAGTCCTAACAACTCCCTGACCTAATGTTTTGCTGGCTTTTCAGTGCTCTCAAGATAAAGTAAAAATCTTGACTGTGGCCTGCATGGCCTGGTGTGGTCTGGTCCCTGCCTGCCTCTCTGGCCAGTCAGACTGGCTTCTTAGAGCTGCTTAAATGCACCATGCTCCTTTCCACTGCCAGCCTTACAGAAGGCATTCTAGAATGCCTGACTGCTTCTCCCCATCCCCTGCACCCCCAAGTCCTCCTGCTCCCCTCCTGTAGCAGATGCTGTGCATGGTAACCCATGCCCCGTACTGTTCCTGAACATACTGCCAATTCCTGTGACTCTTGCCTGGGTCTTCCTTTCACCAGCAGGAGCCAAGTGCTCCCGGAGCAGCTCTCAGCCAATGATCGATGGGAGTTGGTCAATAAACAGCACAGCTTCCTCATCTGTAGGCCGGTCCAGCCCCAGGCTGGGCTCTGCACACTTCCTTGAGGACCCCAGGGAGACAGTTCAGTTGCCCGTGGGGGTCGCCTGCTCATTAATTCGCCCTTGCATTGGCCACATTCCCTGTCCTGTCTACCTTCCCCTCTACGCCTGGTGCTTCCTGGCCTGGCCTCCCAAATAAACTGCTTGCACTTGAATTCTAGCATTAGGGTCTGCTTCTGGGGAAATACTGAAACACTTCCCACCAGCCTCCCTCACCTGTTTAACTCTGACTCAGCCTTCAGGTCTCATCTTCAACATCATTCTCCAAATGTTTGTTCTCAATCATGACTGCATATTGAAATCACCTGAAGGGTTTTAAAATCTTCGGAGACCTGGGTCCCATCCAGAGACCCTCATTTAGTTGGTGAGGGTGTGGCCTGTGCAGCAGGACATTTACAAGCTCCNCCCTTGCATTGGCCACATTCCCTGTCCTGTCTACCTTCCCCTCTACGCCTGGTGCTTCCTGACCTGGCCTCCCAAATAAACTGCTTGCACTTGAATTCTAGCATTAGGGTCTGCTTCTGGGGAAATGCAAACTGAAACACTTCCCACCAGCCTCCCTCACCTGTTTAACTCTGACTCAGCCTTCAGGTCTCATCTTCAACATCATTCCCCAAATGTTTGTTCTCAATTATGACTGCATATTGAAATCACCTGAAGGGTTTTAAAATCTTCGGAGACCTGGGTCCCACCCAGAGACCCTCATTTAGTTGGTGAGGGTGTGGCCTGTGCAGCAGGACATTTACAAGCTCCCACCGTGAGAGAAATGCTATCGAAGGGAGCCTTCCCTGACACCCCAGTACCATGCAACCAGAGCAGACAGCACAGCTAGAATTCCTGGTTTAGGGGTTTTCTTTTACATTGATGTTGGCTCCCTAAGAGCTGTGATCATTTCTGTCCATCTCACCCCCTCATCTACAGCAGCTAGTACGAAAGTGGCTTATGAGAAACTTGCTGAATGCATGCGTGAATTGGGTACCAAAGAAAGTAAACTATGAAAGATGCTTGGGAGGTTGCCAGTCCCAGGCTCAATTCCTTTCTTTCAAAGGACCAGGGGGTTTGTACTGGGAGATGAATGGTGGAGCATGCCCCATCAGTAAAGGTGCTACCTCACCAGCACAAAGTACTGGAAATACAATGCCGATGGCTCCCATTTCCAAAGGCATCGGGAACATGAGCTCTGCCAACAGGGACCCCCTGATGAATGTTTTTGCAGCTCAGTCTTTTAAGTTCATGGTGTAATTACAAGCCATATTACCAACCAAACTGCTGAGGCTGGTATTCACAGTCAGCATTGAGGGCCCTTTATTGAGTAGAGCAGGCAAGATCACTGACCACCATGTTGCAAACTCCAGAGACCACAGTACCTATTGGAATCTACATAAGCAATGCTTCCTAGAGTTGGGCAACTCGTGGTCCTGTGAAGAGATACCCATTTGTATAAACAGAAAATCAACATGTCTGTACTTCTGTTAAATAAATGTTGGATTAAAAAAATTAAAGAATATGGGAGAGGGCATTTTATTAGCCTATATGTTCGATAGTGCCATGGGCCTCTCTTCAACCCTACATTCCATGTTATGTGTATAGGTTTAGACGCTGCCTGTGAAGGCTTTATTGCAAAATATTCACTGAATTCAATTTGTCTCCCAACCTCAGAAGTACATGAACATTTGATTTGCAGCATTTGGTTTAAAACAGCTAATATATGCAAAGTTCTTAGAACAGCAGCCCAAACACATATAGAAAATGCTCTACGTGTGAGCGAATGTTCTGAGCACTCACATATTCAAGCTTTTTGTACATCAGTATTTCTCTCGCATGCCCACTTTCAGTCTGGCTTCATCTGTGCACCACATGCAAATGCCCTCCTGTTTGGAGAGAACACCTTTACCTGCAGCTGGGCGTGCTGTACCTTGGCCACCAGGAAAACATACTTGTCCTCGCTCTCTTTATTGTATTCTTGCAATGCAAACCACAGACACTGCTTCACGTTGGCATTCGAAGTACTGATGGGTTTTAATTTCCTCAGCACTTTCACCTTATTCTTGGCTAGGTCTGTGCTGGCTCTCAGGACTGCTGGGAAGGTGAGGAGGAGCAGGGAGAGCAACCAGGGCCTGGTCATGGTCCCTCAGTCAAGAGGCACAGGCGACAGGGCTGGAGAGGCAGGTGGGCTGGAGTGGCCGCCGCTGCCACGATACGTTCAAAGATCTTGCCTTGGCAGGCTGCCTTCTCTCAGTGTTAGCCCAGCTGGGTTCAAGAAAGAGC